GAAGAAGAATTCACATTTATTATTGAACAAAAAAAATTCCCAAATCGAACTTAGACGAGAGTGACGTATATCCGGTGTGTCGAACTGTCGCCTTTTTATAGCGTCAACATCGTACTCGATGACCAATTAGTGATTAGTGAACCGTAGCACCATGCAAATGTCAAGTGGCGTGATTCCCGGCCGACCAATTAGCCATCACCAGCCGTAACGTTATGCAAATCTGTGATTCCCAAGCCATAGTCTTATGCAAATCATGCCATGTGGCATGATTGTCTGCTGACCAATCAGTGACAGTACTTTCAAAAAGCCAACGGCCACTTTCAACCATCTGTCAATGACCGTTACCAGTAAAAAAAAAACTTTGCTAGGTCTTATATTTAGCAATTCAGCAAAACCTCTACTAGGTCTTATTTTCAGAGGATGTCTTATTTTCGGGGAAACATGGTACATGCCAGGCTGTGATTGGCTCATGTATTTAAATGACTTATACAACATGGAATGCATAAAACATGGAACCTATCTACCGTGTTATTGGGGGGTCTACTGTAATTATTTTATTAGTGCCTACTTCACAAAAAAATATTTACACAGTATTTGTATCTCATGGTATTTGCCATATTTGGTCATTAAAGTGTCATCAAAATAAAAAATATATATAATAAAATAGAATTTTGTTAAAATTTTAAAATATTTTCTATTATAAATTCTGGTTTATATAATTTATATAATTGTTTTTTAATCTGATGATCTCTAAAAAGAATGCATTCTTTGAAAATAGGTAAAATTTGATTTATCACTACAAATATTAAAATTTTCAAAGTTAACTAAAACTATTTTTCTATTTTCGTTACTTATTTTAAATATTTGCAAAAAAATAGAGATAACTAGTTATAAAAATTTTTGCACTAATTGTCAGATATATTTTTTGACAGTATTTAATAATTTATTTTTATCTAAAAAACCTAAATAGTTACAAAAATTTTTTACTAAAATCTGAAATCTGTCACTAATTTAAATTCTGTAAATCAAGGCTGAGGCTGTAATTGATTTTCTTTTAAGTTTTTAACAGTTCTGTGATATTTATCTATAATGATGATTATTTATTTTAAAATTAAAAATTTTTTTCATGAATAATCAAAAAATAATAATAATTGTATTTCAGATATTCAGATTACTTTTATGTATAAATTAATAAAGTATATTATTGATGGATTTTGACAAGTTTAACGTTAATGATGGTTGTTATTATTATTATTTTCATATAAAAAGCGTTTTGTAATAAATCATTCATTCAATATATCCAATTCTTTTAAATATAGATGAGTAATCCCTGCATTAGTAGTTTATAAATGATATTTGATTTTATTTTAATGTATTAAAATTTTCAAAGATTAAAGAGATTTTTCTCTTCTACCAATTTGGCTATTTATCGAAACTTACCACACTAAAGTTCGAATTAATAGCCAAATTGGTAGCTATATTGGTAGAAGAGAAAAATATAATAATCAAAGGCAAAGGACAAGAAGCTTTTTATAGTAAAATTAATAGAATTTAAATGTTTTTAATATTAAAATTAAGTCATAAATATATATGGATTTTGAAGGTTATTTTGCATAAAAATATTTTCCTTGTGTGTGTGTATTATAGAAGAAAAAATATTTTATTTTTAATTGTTTTTTAACATTAATTTTTTAAATATAAATTTTGCAAGTAAATGATTATGTAAGTAATAAAATTATATCTTTAAAATTTATTTCTTTCAGGCTACAAACAGACAATTTCCACAAACTGCAACAGGTGCTTACTTAAGCGGGCTGAGAGAAGCGGATAAAATAATCCATCATATTTACGAGAAAAGTATTCGGATGAAGTCATGATCCGCAGACATTAAATTTCTGTAATTTATATACAGTCAGGTTTACTGTGATAATGTTGACAGTATGAATGAGTATAAACATTTTTCTGTGTGTTACTGTTAGATGTCTTTTAGAATAGAGATATCTAAGATAATGATTCTCATTCCAAATATTAATTCCCACAATATAGGTTATTTATGTATTATAATTTCAAATAGTAATGAAGTGTTTCCATCCAGTACATATATATAATGTATTGGATGAAATCTTTCTGTATTGAAAAAAAGAAAAATCTGTATCATTTTATGTAAATAATAATTATCTTCCATGTAGCAAAGTAATTTCTAATCAATGTCCATAAATTTTGCAATAATAAAGTGATAAAATTTTGGAAAATGTTAAATCAAGATTTATATAAAATCTTGTACTTAAACTGTATTATTTTCTTTTATTATTTGCAGAAAAGTGATTGGCATGAATCTGTTGTAAGAAAGTGTATATTTCTATAAATTGTATTTTTCATATATTTTGTAATTCTTTTAGTATTGTATTTAAGAATGATTTATGAATGTCTTTTTCTAAAAAATTAATTTTATGAATAGTACCAGTAAATTTCAAGGTAGATCACAAGTTTAAGAAATTACTTTTCAAAGACGAAAATTAAAAAAAAAAATTGAATGCATGTATTAATTTTTGATAAAAATAATTCTAAAAGAAGGAAAACATTAATTTTTTTATTAACATTATTTTTGTGATATGAATATTTAAAAATAACTCAATAATTAGTTTTTCTTTACAAGCAATGTATAAAATTAAGATTAATTGGATATTATGTGTTTATGGAGTTATAATTATTCAAGTTTTAGAAAGAAAGTCAATTCTATATTTCGTGAAAATCTTGTTTAATGTAAACTTAATTCTGTTACTATTATTCATAAATGATCTTTCACCTCCACTTTATTTCGATTGTTCGATTTTTTTAAATTAGATTTTTAAATCTAATAAAATTGTGTATAAATTATACAATATATTGTTTTAAATATCGTTACGTTATTTTTTTAATTGCTGTATTTCAAAAATGTAGTTATAGGAATTGTTTCTAAACAGTTCTTGTTCTGCATTGAACTTTGATAATAAAAATGAGTAAAATTCGAATTAGTAAATTGAAATTCTTTATTTTACATTTTTATATTAGAAAAGAATTTATTTTTTTTATGTGGACAAGTTATTCATTATCTTTTAGATGCAGCCTAATGTATGTGTGAAAGGAAGTTGTGAGCTACAGTTTGAACAACTGCCAGTAAGGGGTAGATGAACTACATTAATATTTATGGCCGCATTAATTTTAACTCATTATTTCGAAGAGATACTTATTTTTCAAAACAAATAAAATTAATTCAAATCGCCCCGATGTTAATTTGGATTTGGAGTGTACAAATGACTATTTTTTAATCATCAGATTTATTTAAATTATCATAAGTGTACGCTACGATAATAATTTATTAGTTTATCTAACTCCCCAGTTTACAAAGAAAATTAATATTCAAGTGGCAGAAATTGAACGAAGCGTAACGAAATAGAAAACAACAAAGGATCCGTTCATCCGATAATTACACATTACATTAACCAATCAACCCGACAAAAATTACGCGTTGCGTATCGAATGGTTAATTATCGCTTATATCTTCCAGAATAGTTTATAAAAATTTAATTTATTTTAATATTTTTAATCAAAATATTAATTAATATATAAAATATCGTACGGTTATTCGAAATAATTTTTGTTCGCGGTGGTTGTTGATCTAGTAACACCCGTCTCCTAGCAACAATCGTCAAAGCAGTTAAAAGAGTTCGATTCGGACAGATGAGAGGATATTTGAACTGCTTCAAATGAAGCTTAATATGTTTTATACAAGTAATGTAAGTTCATATGGCTACGAAGAAAGATTCGAAGCATCCGTCTGACTCCAACGAAAGTCTCGATCAACCTTCGACTAGCAACATACAGACTAATATAACGGAAGCCAAATGGATCAAAGTTTATCTTAACGGAGACGAATACTTCCCGGGAATTAAATGTGTCATTAACAATAAGTATCATCGTAATTTCGACGTCTTCCTCAATTATATAACTCAACGTTTGCAACCGAGTTTCGGAGCCGTGCGTAACATTTACAGTCCCGTTAGTGGTCATCGAGTGACCAACTTGAGGGATCTCCTCCCGAATCACGGATATGTGGCCGCTGGAGGTGAGAGGTTTAAGAGGATCGAAGCGGGGTGAGTCTTACTTTTATTTTTCTATCTGCAAGAAAAATACGAAATTTTATTTAATTCTTCTATCTGAATTCGATTTTATAAACTTTTCGATATATTTATGAAATTCTCTATATTCTAAAATCGCTGAATTAATCATAAATTTTAAAAATAATTTGGAGACAAGTGACAAAGTCCCATTCCAGATTCTAAATTAGATCTAATATGTGTCTGTGCCTCCGTTATCGAGTGATAAAGTTTAATAAAAACTAAAAAATAATATCTACGTTAGTTTTATAAATTGTTTCCTCTTAATAATTACTCTTTTTTTTCAAAAATCATCCACATTTTTACGCGTATTGACTAATTTTGAGCTCCTTTCGTATGAATACCGAAGAACTAGATGGAAGTAGGTCAGCACTCGAATTGCTTTGCTTGTGAGTAGGTCAAAAAGTTTACCTCTATAATTAAAACTACTCTACTGATTAATAACGTAGGTTTTGAATGAAATATTTGTTGATTAAAAAAATCTCATCAGTGTAATGCTAATCAATAAATATGCATAACATTATTTTTGTCTTGATTAGAGCTTGTTTGATAAACAAGCTCTAATCAAGACAAATTATAAACATATTTTCAGTTTGTTTCTCCATTTAAGAATAACATAAATCTATTCTAATTCTTTTTTAAAAAAGTTTTGAATCTTTGTTCTTTAATATTGTAGTATCGTAATCCAATGGCTTTTTTGAAACTTAATTACAGTAATAGCAAATACATTAACGAGATCTTGCTACCAATGTCGAAATTTTTCTATATCTTAAAACATTTTTGATGAATTATTTATCATGCTATATATATATATAACTTATCTGTCAATAAGTTGTATATTAAGAACCCACTTTCTATAGGCGAAAATGCATTTCTTTTGAATTTAGCGTCACAATAAAAGTTATTTTTTAAATCTATTTTATTAAGATGTGACAATGTAAGATTCTATTTCTTTGAGAAACTAGTAAGTAATTACTTATTAATATAAGAAAAAAAATTGATAAAACTATATCATTGACATACGTCTTAAGTTTTTTTTTTAATTTGTTTCAGTATGAGATGCATTTCTTTGCATAATTTTTCCTATCATTATTTCATTCTTTCCATATAATACATCCATATAAGGATTGAGCCTTCTTCATTGAATCTTCTATGCATTATTAGTATTAGACTCAGATAGAAGAGAAATTTATTATTGGCCGAAAAAGATAACTCTAATCAGAGTGAATATATTGTATTTCACCTGTAATTAAAATTTGCTATAATTATTTAAATCTATTTTTAAAAGACATGATTCATGAAACAACTCCGTTTGTCACTTAGCTTTTAAAACGAGTTCCGCCCATCTATGAAGGCAAATAGAAGTGAAGGAATATAAAAATACACTAAACTAGCTAATATATTGTGTAGAGACAGAACTACAATTAAAACGATTGATGATTAATTGACATTTCTTTAATACAATATAGGCCTACATATAATTTTACATATAAAAGATACAGTAGAGATGTTACTTGTATTTTAATATTTTATAACTTTTCGGATACAATTAAAAAAAATAAATAAATATCTGTAATTTTTATCTTCAGTATTACAGATTTTAAATTGTCCAACCCATCCATAGACTTATTATTACTTTTTTAATGGTAGAGGATTAGCTAAAGAAAGAAGTTTTCTGTCCATGTTTTCAGTATGTCTTGAATGGGAAGATGGATTAAAAGCATTTTCTCTATTTATTTATGGAAATACAATAGATTTGGCGTACAAAAGTAAAATTTCTTAATTTATTAAATTTTTATAGTAATAAAAACAGCTGTAAGTAGTCTTCAAATGGTTATTTGTAATATTTATGTAGATATGCGTTAAATCAACATTTTATCATTTCCTTAACTTTTTATATATGCAACTGAATAATAAGGGCAAATTTATCTTCTAAATATATTTGCAAATATCAAATAAATGTTTATCTGCATACAAAGTTATGTTATACAGTAGTAAAATGGCAGCACAAATGTTTACAGGTTTTCATAATAATTATTTATTTATTAGAGAAATAAATATACAGTTCTTTATAAACAAGATGTTATTTCATTTAAATAAATCAATAGTTATTAATAATACATTGAAAAAGATATTTGTATTTTTAATGTATTTAAATAACATATTAATGTTTTGAATTTAACAAAGCATTTATATTTAATTTATTTTATAAAACTTGTAGTATATTTAACACGCTTAAAATAGGTATTTTATATTTAAAAAATTATAAAATAAATAAGCCTTTGAATACATTAAATATTCACGCTGATAAAAATAAAATTATTCTGATTGTATAGCTGATATTTTGGGTTAAAATAAAACAAAATCTATAATTCTTCGAAATGGCAATAGTAAAGAGAGAGAGCGAGAGAATTTATTTCATCTTTCGACCTGTTTTATTAAATATTTTTGAACAATTTTACTTGTTTTAAATGTATTTCGCACAAACTACTCTTATATATTTTTTAATTTTTATTTTCAGGTCTGCTTGAAAGATTAAATTAAACAATAATTTGTTTCATAATATGTTTTCTTTGGAACACAACTTGAAGTATTTTTAAAATGTTAGGATATAACTATATTCAGAATCGTCGAGACCTCGTATGGGGGACCCTTACAAGCCCTTTGCCGATTCCTTTTACCGTTTATTTATTTATTTTTTCGAACGTGGAATGTTTCTTTGTTAATAAAAAGTAAGAAAAATAATGCTATTTTTATAGGGGTAGAAACCACAAAGGGCCTATAAGTATTTTCTGGGCCCGATTAAAAATCTCCAACTACTCTCTCTCCCCTATTATATGCTAAATAAGTAAATACAGTATAACAAGTTGGAAGTTAAGATGCAGTTTTATGTATTTGAAGCTTTTTTAATGCATTTTTGTGATAAATTATCATCTTTGATACGATATTATCGAACAGAATTTCTTAATGATGCGAAAAGCTATTGGGATTATGTAATCACATAAATTTAATCCAAAAAGTTGAAAAGAAATTAAGAAGTATGTATTTTAATTCTTTTAAAAATCTATTCGAATTGTTTTATGTAGGATACTGTTTTTAGTTCTGGGCTGTTATTTAATCTCTGAGGAGTTTGATTCAGAATAGTATTATTTATAGAATATTTTGATTGATTAACAAGTAATTTAGGTTAGTATGAATTAATAAACAGATTTTCTAAAATAAATTCCGGCGTGTTATAAGAAATCTTTAAATATAATAATAAGAAACATTACCAATAACTTGTAGATTTAGATCAAATCTGCAAATCGATCTCAAGATTAATTCTTAACATTACTTCACATATTTGTTTAAAATAGTGTTCTTAGTGTTCGCGTAAATGTATGGAAGAAGATACAAGAAAATGTATTGTTTTCAATTCTTAATTTGTTCATTAAAAATTTATCCTCGAATCTATTATATTTTTTTACGAATTTTTAAATATGACTAATATATAACCGAAAGTTAAATCATTGCTGAATAAATTACACAGGTCTGCAAGTAAAAACCTGCATGGGATTTTTATACATTTTATTACAGATTTCAACTTGGTAAAAACAAAAAAAAATACCAAAAAAATTCCATCTCGTCAATTTTTTTGTTACACTCAAGTTTTTGTTTGTATTTAGCGTAAAATTCCTAGTTAACTTAAAATTTAGTTTTTTCTTTTTTTTTTTAATGGCCTTAAAACGAAGACTTCTCACATTAATTCCATCAATTATAGCTGGACTTTGTAATAAATAAATAAAAATGTTAATGGTTGAAGAGAGTAGTGGTAGGGGGAGGTGGGTTAAGTAGTTTTAGCGTTAGGAGGAAGATCGCGTGATAGTGTAGAAACAGGCTAAAAGTTGATAGTGAGTAATATTATTGGTGAGGTTGAGCGTGTTTCGACATGTTATCTGGGATACTAGGAATAAATATAAACAACCTGCTGTTGGATTAGATCGTGTTTCAACAAGCTAAATAATCAATATCTCGCTGTCCATCTAATGAATGCCACACTCAGTTTATATCCAGCATTCGAACGCTACTGTGCTTGTATTTTTATTTCTGAAATATGACTCGCAGAGGTTGTGTAATTTCTCCCGATAGCTTCTGTTATGTTTGCGGTGAATACACAATGAAAAGTCAACAAAGAAACATAAGTGAGTTTGTGAAGAAAGTTTAATTTGCGTATTTCAAATTGAAACTTGGAGATCAAGAGAAAGCAGATTTTTGGAAACAATGGGAGAAAAGGAAAAAGAAGCATGGGACTCTCTCAAGAATGTAATGCATAAGTTTTTGGGGAATACTAAGGACCCTAACTACAAAACCATTGTACAGTACAATGCATGCTGGCAGCAGCGTATGAAGCTCAAGGATGCGAGATGAGCTTAAAAGTTCATTTCTTATACTCCCATATTGACTATTTTCCCAAAAACTTGGGACCCTACAATGAAAAACAGGGTGAAAGATTTCACCAGGATGTCCGTGATATCGAGAGACGTCACCAAGAAAAATGGGATGCCAATATGTTAGCTGACTACTGTTTGATGATCAATTGAGAAACCAGAGAAAGAAATCGGAAATGAGTTTGGAGAAGCATCAAAAAGAAGAAGAAAAGGTTTCATAAGAAAAAAGAGTAGACCTAAAATTGTGTATAAATATCAGAAACAATTTGTTGATTAGTTGTAAGAAAATGTAATATATTTAGTTCATTGTAATAAATAAGAGTTTTTATCAAAAATTTGTTTCTATTTTGTAAAAACCTTTACGTGATGGGATGTAACGAAAGTTGTTTTTAGAATCTGCGATTTTTAAAACATATAATTTAGCAAAAATATTCCATGCAGCTGAAAAAATTTTTTTGCAGACCTGTGTTATTAAAACAGTTAAATTGTCAATATATCTGCTTGTACTCGTCTATTTCGCTTAATATCTCATGACGGGGTGAAGATAAA